CCGGGCAGCCGGCCCCGCCCGCGGCCACTCAGGATGAGACCCAGGACGCCCCGGCTCCCAGCCCAGGCCCCAGCCGGGAGCCTGAGCTGTATTTCTCCCTGAAGGACATGTACATGGAGAGCACCCAGGGCCACGGGCCGCAGGAAGCTCCGGGGTCCCCACCCCCAGGGGCGCTGGCACCCGGACAGAGCCCCCCGGGGAAGGAAGACGTCCAGCCTAGAGGCGAGGGGGCGCCCGCCGTGCCCAGCCCCCCCACGGCCTCCCTCGCGCCGCCACCGCCCAGGCCTTTCAACAGGAAGAGATTCGCCCCTCCGAAGCCCAAAGGGGAGCCCGCGGCCACAGCCCCCAACACGACCACGGAGCCCGGGGCCCGGGCCTCGGGGGCAGCCCCGCCTCCGGCCTCCGGCCAGGTGCCCACGCCCCCTGCCCGGCGGAGGCACGGCGCCCGGGACAGCCCGGGGCAGGGCCGCAGGACCGCGGGAGAGGTGAGCAGCCGGACGCTGAGCTCATGGAAACTGGCTGTCACCCGCCTGGCAGCCGGGGTCGCAGCCATTTATAGACGGGGCGGGAGGGGCATGCCAGCCAGGGGCAGAGGACCAGGCTGCAGGCGCAGGGCTGACCTGGCAGCCGGCCCCGGGGAGGGTGGGAGCTGCTCCTCTCTCCTGGGTCGAGGCGGGGTGCAGGTGGTTTCCTGGGGAAAGATGAAGAGAAGCAAAGTTGAGCTTTGGGAGGGGAGAGGATGCTCATGGGATCCCGGGAGAACCCCAGTTCTGGGGAGACAGGGACTCAGTGTCACTTCAGGGGGTGCTGAGGTTAGGCTGTGGGAACAGTACTTCAGAAGGCTTCAGAAGCCAGGCACCAGTGGCTCACGCCTGTCATCTGAGCTACTCGGGAGGATCACGGTTCAAAGTCAGCCCAGGCAGGAAAGTCCTTGGAACTCTTACCTCCAATCAACTACTCAGAAAAGCTGGAAGTGGTTCAGTGGTAGCCTTGAGCACAAAGAGGCTCAGGGAGAAAGTGTCTGAGCCCTGAGTTCAAGCCCCAGGACAGCAAAAAAATAAATAAAAATAAGGGGCTGGGGAGGTGGCTCAGTGGTAGAGCGCTTGCCTCGCATGCATGAGGCCCTGGGTTCGATTCCTCAGCACCACATAAGCAAAAAGAAAAAAGCCGGAAGTGGTGCTGTGGCTCATGTGGTAGAGTGGTAGCCTTGAGCTGAAGAGCTGAGGGACAGCGCCCAGACCCAGAGTTCAGGCCCCATGACTGCCAAAATAAATAAATAAATAAAAATCGATTGAGGCTTTGGGCACAGGCCTAACCGAGGACGTCAGAGCAGGCTCTGGGGCCGCCTGTGGCTTTTGTCCCGGTGCCTGGTCCCAGGCGGGGTCATGGGGAGACAAGGAGCGCCCGGAGGGGCTGACCAGGGCAGTCAGGGGTGCCCTCCCGGGCCCCCAGGGAGCTCATGTAGGAGATGACCGGGCTGGCTGCCAGACCTGAGTACAAGTCTGACATCTCTCCCCCATGTGAGGGCAGCCGCACCCCCTGCCCTGCCCCCGAGGTGAGAGGGGCTGCGGCCCTGCCCGCTGCTAGGCTGGTGTTACTGCTCCTGAAAAGCCCAGGGTGCAGGGAGTGAGGAGTGAGGAGTGGGGGGGGGGATCCTGGGGCCTGGACTTGGGGCCTGGGTGCTGCCTCTGAGCGTTTTTACTGGAGGCTGGTGCTTACCATTTGAACCACAGCGCTACTTCCAGCTTTTTTTTTTGATGTTTAATTGGCATTGAGAGTCTCGGGCTTTCCCGCCCAGGCTGGCTTTGAACTGTGATCGGCTCTCGGCTCTCGGCTCTTTGGGTGGCTAGGATGATGGGACCCGCCTGGCTCATGGGAGTTTTAAGTTGGGGAGTGGGTGTTCCCATCAGACACGTGTTGCACAAAGGCCACTTGAGTGTGGCGAGGACAGAGCGGAGGCAGGTGGTGGGAGGGGAGAGGAGGGATGGACGCTGAAGGGGCTTGATGGGGGAGGGGTTGGAGGGGAGGGGGAGGGAAGCTCCCATCAGGCCCTGCTTTCTGGAGTCTGTGTCCCGCGGTGGGCTTGTGCCGAGCTAGCACTTCCTGTGTAAATGGATAAATTTCATTCATCTCTCCTAACCCTGGAGTGTCAGGTGTTGAGGAAGATTCTAGTCTGTGAGGTCAAGTCTTCTCATCGGTCCCTGTGTTCTCAGGTCCCGGAGTCCCAGGCTGCCAGGTCTCCTCGCGCGCCTGCCAGCGGCGTGCTCTCCCCCGCTGCACAGCAGAGTAGCACGGACCCCATGGATACCGATGCGGCCCTGGCCCCCGGAGGCCGGGGAGGGGCGCAGGCCCCACGGAGCCAGGCGGGCAGCGTGCCAGCCACCACCCAGAGCACGCAGACAGGCCGGGAGACGCAGGACGCTGAGAGGCAGCCAGCACCCAAGAGTGGCCGCAAGGACGTGGAGACACAGCGGGGACAGACCCCGCAGGAGGACACGGGGCACACGAGGGCGCAGGGCGAGGAGACCGGCCTCAGCCCGCCGCCCGGGACCCCCGGAACCCCGCGCTCCCAGGCACCCAGCACACGGCTGGCGGAGTCCGTGCTGACCCCTGAAGTGTGTTGTGACCCCGAGAAACCTGGTTCTGAGCTTAGATCCGAGGAGCCCCTAGTCACAGCCTCCATAAACCACGGGCACACCGCCCAGGGTCCCCCACCCGGGAGCCCCGGGCGCCCGGCTCAGGAGGGGAGCCCGGAGCGGGCAGGTGCAGGGGAGGCCAGCCCAGAGGATGGCGGGTCCCAGCGCCCCGAGGAGCTGCCAAGGGGGCACGCAAGCCAGGTCCTGCCCACCGCGCCTGCACGGCCCCCACAGGAGGAGCCCCGCGGTACCCCAGCGTCTCCACACGGGGCCCCCGATGCCCTCCTGCCCTCCAGGCACCAGGCCCTGCCCAGCTCTGCCCCCACACTGCACCTGGGCCCAGGGCCCCCCGCCCAGAGCCTCCCCCAGGGGCCCTCATCTGCCAGCCATGGGGGGGCCTGCGCCAGGGAGACAGAGGTGGAAGGGGGGCCCCCGGGAGCCCGGGGCTGTGACCCTGGCCTCATAGACTCCCTGAAGAACTACCTGCTTCTGCTGCTGAAGCTGTCCAGCGCGGAGCCCGGCGGGCCAGGGGCCCCGGTGCCCGCCGTGGCCGGGCTGAGTCCCTGCACGTCGAGGCGCATTCTGGAGCGCGTGGAGAATGAGCACCTGGTGCAGAGCGCACAGACGCTGCTGCTGAGCCCCGCCACCTCCCGACGCCTCACCGGCCTCCTGGACCACGAGGTGCAGGCCGGACGCCAGGCCCTGGCTGCCGCCCAGCGCCCCGGCCCCGGCCCCAGCCCCGCCACCATCCCTGCCATCGTGGTGGGTGAGGATGAAGATGCCCTCGAGGGGCCCAGCCCCCCCGAGTCTTCCCAGGAGCAAGGCCTGAGCGAGCCAGCCCCGGAGAACAGCACCCCGAACAGCACCCAGAACAGCACCCCAGATGACAGCATCCCAGAGAGCAGCCCCCCAGAAAACAGCCCCCCGGAGCCCTGCCAGGATGAGGGGGTCCCAGGAGGGGCTCCCATGGGCCTCCCCGCGGCCACGCCCGAGGAGCTGGCCCTGGGGGCGCGGAGGAAGAGGTTTCTCCCCAAAGCGAGGGCCGCAGCTGACGGGGAAGCCGCCAAGCCCGAGGACAAGGCCACGAGCCCCACGGTCTCTCCCCGGGGACCCCGGAAGAGCCTGGCACCGGGGTCTCCAGGGACGCCGGGTAGGGACAGGCACTCCCCCACCCAGGGGAGGAAGGGCAGCATGCTGGAGGTGCCCCGGCCCGACGAGGAGCCGACGGCGGGAGACCCGGGCCCCGATCCCAAGGCCAGCGGTCAGGACACAGAGCCAGGGCCAGAGGAAAACAAGGCCAGGAAGGCCAAGGACCTGCTCAAAGGTGAGGCCCGCCAGGGCGGCCGGGGCTGCGGGCGGTCGTTCCTAGGCCAGTGACCCTGGCGCTGCTCACCCCACGCAATAAGGGGCCAGGCCCTGGTTGCACCCTGGTGAGCCTCAGGGGGGTGAATGGGAGGGGGAAACCGGGCAGCCAGCACAAGGTCTCGGTGCACCGGCTGCATCTCAGCGCGTCACCCTCCTCTGACTCACCCACGACCAGGACACGCGGCGGATCCCCCGCAGGTCCCGGGGCTGGGAGTAAAGGGGGAGCTTCCTCCTGCCCCCCCAACTGCTGCCCAAGCCCGCCACCCTGCCTGGGCTGGAGGAGGCCGTGGGGCCAGGCAGGGGGCCCAGCCTGTGCCGGGGCTCGGATCCCGCTCCACCAGGGACACGGAGCGGGGAGAAGGGGGAGAGGCCAGGCGGGAGGGTCTGCCCTGGGGGGCCTCCCTGCCATGGGCCCCGGCCGCAGCCCCACAGGTGATCCGCAAGATCCGCGTGGAGCAGTTCCCAGACGCCTCGGGGAGCCTGAAGCTCTGGTGCCAGTTCTTCAACGTCCTCAGCGACTCGGTGCTGACCTGGGCCAAGGACCAGCGCCCGGTGGGCGAGGTGGGCCGGAGGTGAGCGCCCGGCTTCCCGCTGCGGGCCTGGGCTCCCGGCCCCGGGAGTCACCAACCCAAAGTCAGGCAGACAGAGCCCCAGGACGGCCCCCCGGCTGCCCACCCCAGC